GTTATAGAAATTATATAGCAATTTATAATTTGTGGTATTTGTTTAAATTGAATGAAAAATTATGGTTTTTTTGGTGACCACATCCGAGACTCAAGAACACTGAATTTGTGGGGATGAAGTGGAACCATTGAATTTAATCCGAACTCAAGAACACCTTGATGCCATTCTGTGGAAGAGGAAAACTGGACCTTCATGCAATTCTGTGGAAGAGAAAAACTTTATCAGCATTTTGTACAGCTATATTACTAAAGTTGATGGGCCTTGACCCCATTCTGTTCGGCCTCTTGTGATTGTATTAAAGTGTAGGGCCATATTTTATGGATTTGTGCCATGTTTACCAAAACTGTTTCTGCCATTGGATTGAAAAAAATGGAGGGAAAATTGGAATGAAATTGTTGCATTGATTTCTCATGGGCTTTTATATATATAGTAGATTAGGATCTTCTCGGGTCTGCATCTTCTGATCCTACTAATTGAGCATGGGTCTGTCTCACTCCATATGTTGTTGGACCAGTCTTTTCTCTCTCATCAGTTTTTTTTTCCTTTTTACTTCGAACAATACGATTCTTATTTACCCTTCCCTGGATATCTCTTTACTAAAAGAACCAAACTCGATTTTGTAGAAGACTAGAAGTCTAGTCTAGGAAAAGAGAGTTTCCCAGTTACGTAGAAGGAAGGGTAGTCCTAGTCCTGGTTGGTTTTGTGTAGGTTTCTGTTTTAGCAGCACAAAAATTGCCCTTTTTGTTTCTACTACACACTACACCTTCTGCGGACCATGTGGTTTCAATGACTTTAAATTTATAATTACTCACACAAGACTACCCTCAAGTTTGAACGCAATTCCAATTTTTCTTGTCAGATCAATATTTAAAACTTTCTTCGTCCCCAATTTGATTACAAATTGAGGTTTACGAGAAGAAATATTTTACTTTTGAAATAATTTTATTTAAAAATCGGTATATCGATAAAAAATAAAAATTACATAATAAGAAACTATATCAAAAGTTCTACTCTCTCCGTTCCTTTAAACCCTTCCACTTTTGACTTTTGGCAAAACTAAGAAAAGTGAAAATTTGGTTGACTTTCCAATTTGCCCCTGATGTGATGGGTAAAAGTAAGATTATATAGTTTGGTTATTAGTGAAAAAGTATGATGTGATAGGTAGTGTATGAAAAAGTAAGGGTAAAAGTGGTTTTTAATAGAAAGCGGAAGTGTTTAGGGAATTCAAAAAAACGAAAGGGGAAGGGTTTTGTGGAACGGAGGGAGTACAAAACAAGAGGTGACAAGAATATTTTATTTTATCAAATACCTAATGAAATTGCGTAAACATACAAAAGTTATCGAGAAGATAGAAAAAATATTGTAATCAAATTGGGGACGGAGGGAGTATATAATTAATTAGAAATTGTTTAATACATTAATTAGATGAAATGATTGGGAGTATTTTTATTTATATCTAATACCAATTTTATTTAGCAAATCATCAAAGTTTATCAATTTTATTTACAAAAATCAAAACTAAACAAACATCATGAAACGATGTGAGGACCTTCCTTGGAGGCTAAATAGATACTCGAAGTTCAGGAAGGTTGCGGGTTCGTTTTTCTATTGACATCAGAAGATGAAGCTAAGGAGAGAATGTAACGATGAGCATTGGTGGTTAGTTTTCCAAGAAGGAACCTCTACACTATGTTTGGTTCAAGGAATTTTGAAGGAAAAGAAAAGAAAATGGTTTTCTCTCATTTTCGTCACTAAAATGGGAGGAATTCGGTTTTCCCTCCACTTGGTACATTTTGCCTTCTCATTTTCTTTTCTTTCCACTTTTCTTTTCTAACCAAACAAGAAAACTTGCTTTCCATTTCATTTTCTTTTCTTTTCCCTTTTGAATTCCTTGATTCAAACATAGTGCTAGTGATCGCAAAGATCAACATAGAATTTGTAGAGAGGCACTCATCAGAATCCTTCCTTTACAAATTCATAGTGCACAATGAGGTATTAGTCTGGTTTTGGGTTGTTTGTGATAGTTACATTCTCTGGATAGCGAACCCCGATCCCTTTGCCTAGGATCTACGGCATTTTGGCAAAGTCCATGCCTCTTAATGGTGGTTCGCTCTGGGTCCCATGTTCGGACATCAATCTTTTCCATTCGAAATTCGGTTAACCTGGAAACGGGTAAATGGACTTTTAGTGAAAGGATTATTTATGTTCAGATACTTTTGTGAAAGGATTCAAAGTTCAGGTACCAGTGGTACCACTTCGAAATTCCAGTAAAAGTTCAGGTAGCATTACTGAAATTTACCCTCATAATATGTATAAATAACCCCCCTCCCCCNNNTAAGTAATAGGGGTGAGAAAGTACCAAATCCATGTCGAAAATTCCCGAAAAAATCGAGAAAACCGAATTAAAAAATACTGAACCAAAAAAGTACCGGTAAAATACCGAACCAAATGTTCGATTCGGTATTTGGGGCATGAGGTAACTTCCCGTACCAAAAATCCTAAACCGAATATATATACTAATATATTATAAATATAATAATCTTTTTATATTTTTCATTGAATAATAAGTTTACTTTTAAAATTTGGCTCAAAATTTTATTATGCGTACATTGTACTTTTATTTGAGTTTTAACGTTTTGTAGAAGAATTTAAAAATAGTAACACACATTTGAAATATCATTTTGTTGTCATCTTCTCATTGTAGTTTGTGAGATTAAACTAAGTTTAATAAGCATTTCTTGCATTTAATTTTTATTTTTTTTCATTTTTTATATTTTTTGTTTAAATATACTATCGATTTATAAAAAATAAATATTGCTGTGATCTCATACCGAACCATCTCGAACCATACCGAATCAAAATTTTGGGATCAGGATCGGTACGACGTAAAATCTCATACCGAACTGAAAGTATGGTATCAGTATGAGCTAAATATCGTACCATACCGTACTATGCATAGTGTGAGATTATCTTCTTATTTCTTATTTTCTAGATTGGATCTTGAGATCCATCACATTGAATTATTATCTTAATTTTATATCGATCAATATATTCATTTCAAACATAGTTTTGAAATATTAATTTTTTATAATATAAATCTATATTTAAAAAAAGATATCAATGGTCAAAGTATTTTATTAGAAACCGTGAAAAGTCAAATGAAAAGAAAATTTATGGATAGAGGGGGTACATTTTTTCAAATAGGAATTGATTTTTGAAATAGAGATAGTATTAACTTACATACTCCCTCCGTTCTCAAAAACACTTCTTCTTTCATTTTTTCCACTTCCAACAAAACACTTCCCTTTTCTATTAAAAAACCACTTTTACCCTTACTTTTTCATACCCTACCTATTACATCATACTTTTTCTCTAATAATCTATCCATCACATCTTACTTTTACTCATCACATCAGGGGCAAAATTGGAAATCAACTATAATTTAACACTTCCTTATGTTTGCCCCAAATCAAAATGGGAAGTCTTTTTGCAAACGGATGGAGTATTTAAGAACTATATCAAAAATTATACAAAACAAGTGGGGACACGTTAATTATTTTATTTTATCAAATGATCAATGGGAATACTTACGCAAATAAAAGTTTTTGAAAGCCTGAAGTACTCCCTTCGTCCTAAAACATTCTTTCCGTTTCTGTTTACGAGGTTTGACCGACTTTATTTTTAATTCAATTTATTTGATTCTAGGTGTAAAATTAAAAAATAAAATTTATATAATTAAAAACTACGTCAAAAGTTTTACAAAATAAGAGGTGACAAGACTATATTATTTTATCAAATAACTGACAAAAATAGGTAAAGAAAATAATTAAAGTTTGACCGTGTGAATATAATAACTAGAAATAATGTTTTAGGACGGAGGAAGTAGTAAATAGGACAATGATTTTGGAAAAGGAGTAACTATTGGTATATGTCTTCGATTCTGGAAATGTTTGAATTTTCACAATATACAACGTTAGAGTTTTTAGCTTCTTCGTTCAGTTTTTTAGTAACTCTGATACCATCAGTGTAATATGTGTTCAATCTTATTATAGTCCCAACCTCCTAAGCGCATTGATGAAGTTGGAGCACTTTGTTTTTTTGTAAAGCTTCCTTCATTATTTGCATGCACATTTATTATTTGCATGCACATTTACAATTAATTGCTCGTAGCAGTTAAAAGATCAGAGTTAAAGCGTGTCATACATATGGGAAGCTAAGGTTACATAGTTTGGTGTTTAGCATGTGTTTGGTCGGTATGTGACATAAATTTATGCTGTGGTTGTGGCTTTATTTTCTTCACGTTAACTCGTTAAGGGTGCAGACAAGTAGTTAATTGGTTTGTTGTTTGAACTTGTTAGGACCCCATGCATTAAGTTTTGGGTGATGAACAAAAAAACATTGAATAGGCAGCAAACACATGAACTAGGTCTAACCTCATGCTCCACACAAGTTCATATACAATAACAAATACCCACTATATCATTATAATTTTATTTTTGTAATTTTATAATAATGTACGGAATACGTACTCCGTACATTATATTAGTTTTTTTGTATAATTATTAGATATATGATATTTTTTATGATACATGTACTAAGTAAATACTCCCTCCATCCCTAAATATTTGCCACACTTGTATTCTCGAGTCAAAATATCAAGTTTTTTCAATTCATTTTATTTACAAATTGGTATAGAAATAAAAAATAAAATTTACATATCAAAAAACTACATGAAAAGTTCTTCGAAATAAGAGGTGTCAAGAATATTTTATTTTATCAAATAACCAATGAAAACGTAAAAATAAACAAAAGTTCCCGCGACGCTGAAAAAGCAAACGTTGCAAATATTTAGGGACGGAGGGAGTAAAAGAATTAATTTTTGAAAATTGATAAAGAAAACTATTCCCTCCGTTCTCAAAAACACTTCTTTTTTCATTTTTTTCCACTTCCAACAAAATACTTCCAGTCATTCGAATTCAATTCCCAGGTGAAAGCCGTGGAACACGAGAATAAAACGTTAAGGGCGCTATGAATTGTGGGCTTCAAAACGAGGGAGTCCAATGGTTTGGTTCTGAGAAGTTGATAAGGTGATTTTAGTGGTGGTCCGAAGGGTTTAGCGGCAGAAGTTTAGGGCCCAATTCGGTGTATCCACTACCCGGTGATATTTTAAAAACAATTAAATTTATATCAAATAATCTTATCTTTAGATAATCTCTTAAACATAATCATACATTTCACTGTAATATTTAACAAGCCAATTTTTAATAGAGTAGGTAAGCTTTGGGTTTGTCTTAGAACCCTAACAGCTTGAAAGGTAAATGCTTATTTTGTACAAACAAATAAAACATAAGATTATATTAAATAAAAGTTTTCTTTTTTCAATTTTTTACATTTTAAAATTTGAAATTAAAACATATAATGACTATAATATCAACATATAATATCAAAAAATATTGTGTAATGCCCGTCCACAATCACACATTATCACGATGCAATAGTCTTATTTTGGTGATAAGGACTATTTTGAAAATCTTAGTAGCTCGTATGCACATCTAAGTATTATCAGTTCAATCTAACAATCTCAACTTCTTAAGCGCAATTGTGCATGAGTGTAATTCGAACACTGGATATCCAGAAGACTGGGATAGCTTCTTTGTCTTTTCATTGAGCCAACATGCTTCCAAGGACATAAAGATTATGTTTTGTTTATATTTTAGATAATTTCTTATTTTCAAATTGTGAATAAATTTCAAAATTTTTAGCCATAAATTTCTTTTATGCTACAAATATACTAAAGTCCATAAAGTAAGCATGGACATTAGGTTCACGGTAGAATTTATCTTGTTAAAAAATTATTTAAAAAATGTTTAGAATTGTAACGTCATTGTAATACAATTTTTTTTCCAAAGCAGCATTGTAAATTGGTTTTTATCATAACTCACTATTTTTTCCTTTAAAAAAACTACCCTGAGTATAATTTTTTTCTCAAAGGCTCTATTTATTCGAGTGTTAATCTTTAACTTCCAATTTTTCCAACTCTTTCCCGTTTCTTTCAATTTTTTCTTATTTCTTCCATCGACTTAAAAAAATTATTTAGGTAAATTTTCATATTATTATAATTATTAATATTGTTATTATAAAAAATATTAATTTAATGTCGCAATTTATTAAAAACATTGTGTCTTCAAGATTGATTTTAGTTATCATTATAGAGTCAACGTAGATTGTCTTAAATTTATTAATTTATAATTCACTTTGTGATGATTTTTAAAGTTTAGTTAACTATGTCTCTTTGAAATGTATTCTGGTCAGTATTTTAAAATTTTAATCAAAATAATTGTACACTCTATTTTCTTTCATTAAGTATTACATAACTTAATTTAAGACATGACGCCGGTGGAAGATAAGCTGCGGGAAGCGAGGTTGAGATGGTTTGGTCATATGAGGCGGCGGAATGCTGACGCCCCTGTACGGAGATGTGAGAGGATTACGGTTGTCGGGGGAAGTAGGGGAAGGGGTAGACCTAGGAAGAATTGGAAGGAGGTAATTAGGCAGGATTTAGGACTTCTCACCCTGACCAAGGATATGGCTTTAGATAGGAACCTTTGGAGAACTAGGATTAGAGTAGCTGAATAGGTGCTTCAGGGGTTTTTCGTAGTGTGTTTTGTTTGGTTGAAAATTTTTACTATTGGTTGTAGGACTTTCATTCCATTGTACTTGGAGCCGGGGGTCTCTTGGACTGTGATTCTTATCTCTTGGACTTTCATTTCATTGGTTGTAGAACTGTGATTCTTATCATACTTTTTGTGCAGTTGGAGCCGGGGGTCTCTTGGAAACAGCCTCTCTACTTCCGAGTAGGGGTAAGATCTGCGTACACACACCCTCCCCAGACACATTTTTTTCTCTTGCCCCTTTGCTAACTCTGTTTGGGAGCATCTAGCGTTGGGGGGAATCGGTCGTCGGCCACTGGTTTTCCTTCATGGTTCCAGCAGATTCTGCTCACCGCTTCAACAACGGATCTCCAGCGGATTGCTTGGGCAATATGGTTTTTATGGAAGAATCGGAACGATGCCCTTTGGAATCATGTCGTCGCTGTACCCTTATCATTGAAGCATCAGATCATTCACCTGCAAAATACTTATGTCTCTAATGACATGAGTTTTAATTCATTTCACGGGAGGTTAAAAACGATGGAGGGGTCTTCTAACACTTGGAAGTGTTCAGTGGATGCTTCTCTCTTTCCTCGTTTGAAGCTCACACGTTTTGGGTCTATTCTTTTTACACCCAATGGTTCTTTTAAGACTGCAATTAATGGTGTTACACAAAGCGATTTTGATCCCTTTATGGCTGAAGTTGTGGCTTGTAGGGAGGCTCTTTCCTGGCTAAAAAATATGGGCGTTGATGCAGTGGTGCTCTCCTTACATAATCTCAAATTGGTTCAAGTATTACAACAAAGGGATGCCTCTTCCGTTTTGTCCTACGTGGGCTCAATTTTGGACACTTGCTTTACTCTTATTTCTTCCTTTAGGCATATCGAATTTCATTTTATTCGTAGATGTGAGAATATTTTGGCTTATGTGCTTGCTAGACAGGTTGAGGTTTGTGTTGATGTGTGAGAGTCTAATCCACCAGACTTTGTTGTTCCTTTTTTGAATGATTAATAATTATTATGTTGTTTCAAAAAATAATAAGCAAGTTATGAGCATGTGCAAAAAATAAATGTCCATACACCAATCTAAGAGCATCTCCAATGTATAGTGTAAAAATTGGTAGTGTAAATTACATTTTACACTATCAACATTATTTTACACTTTTTAATACCTACTCCAACCATGTTTTATATAATATACTCCATACTTTACATTTATTCATGTCCCTATCTACAACCAACTTGTATATATACATTTTGCCAATTGTATTTTACCCTATATTGTATTTTAGCATTTGTTTTACCCTCTCCCTTGGAATGTCAAAAAGTTAAACACAAAGTATAAATTGTGTAAATTTTAGCATATAGCCTCTACACTGGAGATGCTCTGATATACATAAAAATAATTGTATGAGATTAATATTGTTAACATTTTAATTGTGCATATGTTGGATGCATAATATATCTTCGTTGCATAAAAATTCTCCAATTGACTATTATAAAATTTTGAAAAAAAATTAGAAAGTAAAAAAATGTTTATATATTCTTGAGACTTAGAAAAAATGCAATAGTGAAAGTTTTTGGGGGATTGAATTGGTTCATTTGTCTTTCAACTAAGATTATAAAAAGTATTCGTTCATTTGTCTTGTTAGTTTTGTTACATGGATTAGTAATAAACAACTGAAAAAATGAAAAGTTATATGATTAATATTGATTTTAAAATATAAGTCAAGAGTGTGAATCACACAGAAACTATGAATATGAATTGAGATAAAATATAAAAGAATCTTTCTAGATAGGAGTTAAAAAGTATGAAAAGACCAAAATAGGAGTCTTAAGTGTTTTGAGACCAAAATATGAATATAATGGCAATGTGGTGTAAGAATGCTAGCCAATCATTGGTGATACGCAAGGCGCTCTGGTGATCGGCGGACGGTGATAGTGTGGTAGTTACAATGTGACAACGTGGTGAGTGTGGCAGTGTTACAATGACAATGTGAACTCATATTTTTGTCTTAAAAGACTTATGCCTCATATTTTAGTGTTTTCATAGTATATGACTTCTGTCTAGAGAATTCTTCCTAAAATATACTCCGTAATGGCATAGAAGAAAATAAAAAGAGATAAAAAAATTGAAAAAGTAGAGTATAATTTTTTTTAAAATAAAATATGAAATGTATAAATGAAAACAAATATTTCAACACTTTTTATTTTCTTCAACTTTTCAAATTTTTTCCAAGTTTTTCCAATTTCTTTTAGTTTTTTCTAATTCTTTTTAGTTTTTCCAATTCCTTCAAGATTTTTCCTAGACCACAATACATACAATATACTCTCAAGGGTTATAAAATACCTAGAAGTAAATACAAGCTTAACAATTCTAGCTCCTTTGATTAGTTCGGTAACTGCATTTCTCATGTGCAATAGCGATCTATCAAGAATGACATCGACGAAGTGAACCATTGTTTATCCTTGCAAAAGTGATATATTGCTCCTAAATCCACCCACCATGCCATATCTTCATCCCACGCATAAAACACATGAGATATAATTGTCACATAATTCTCTACGAAATTCTTCAAGTGTTCAATACCTTGGGGTTTGTATAGGTCCATGAATGTTCTTCCTGAACAATCATTGCTTGTATCGTTGCTCCGTTTGCCCACTCGACAGTTTTGTTTGAAGTTATGAGTTTGTCACACTTCCAACAACCCATTTTTTTCAATTCCTTCTTGTTGGAAGACTTACCCGTATGCGTACGCTTGCATTAGTTTCCCTTATAATTTTTTTTTCTTTGGTGTTCTTTCCTTCGTTTACTATTATAGCGGTAGAAGGTCCAGCAATGTCCTTACTCTTGGATTTGTCATCTTCCAAGACCTTAATGGTTTCTTCAACCTGAAGGTGACTCCCAAGTTACACCAAAGTCAAGTCCTCCTGGTTGTGTTTCAAAGTGTTTTTGCACTCTTTTCATGAAGGTGACAACATGTGAGTAATGGATGAGATATAAATGGACTCATCCATTTTCACATTATGTTGGGTGAATTGCCCAAGGATCCTCAAAAACTCATGGTATTGTTCCATTACCATCCTAAAGGCGACCATTTAGTAGTTGTTGAAATTACTAACAATGAACTTCTTGCTAGAAGCATCCTCAACCACATAATTTTCCTAAAAAGAGGCCCATAGTAATTTTGCATATTCAATATTTTGATAAACATTAAAGAGAGAGTCACACATATCATTGAGAATATGACTACGACAGATCTAGTCATCGCACTACACATCTTGTTTGCTCTATCGGTTCGTCCTCCATGATCTTGGGCGTCAACATGTTCAACACATACACGACCTTCAATGTAGTAAGAAGAAAGTATTTCTTCTTTTGCCATCTTGGAAAGTCTTGACCTTTAAACTTTTCGATTATTCAGAACTTGCTCGTTAGATCTCTCACAAATTCAACACCTGTCATCTTTGCGTTGTTACGAAATGACTTTAGGAATAACTTTAATCTTTGTTGGAAAACAAACATTGCTAATAACTGTTAGCGTATATTATGTATATATGTTGGTTTATGTATATCATGTACTATCGTGGGTCTATCTTATTGGGCTTGTAACTGTAACTTGTATATATATCCTCTGGTATCAATGAAACACACAAGTCATTCAGTTACCAAATTCTACATGGTATCGGAGCAAAACCTGGGATATCACGTGAAACCCTAGGTCTACCGCTGCAAGTACCATTTCTCGTTCACCGGTCTCCCTCGCTAGTCGTCTACACCGGTAAGTCGTTAGTCCGTCGCAGGTGAACCGTCCCAGTCATCTGTCTTCCTCAGCGTTCCAGTCTCTGTCCGTCGCCATGTCTGCCGAGGTTGCTGCCACAACGAAGAAAACCCAGTTGATTCACAATCCTTCATCTATATATTATCTCCACCCTTCCGAAGGTCCCGGTAACTCTCTCACTAAATATTTGCTGAAAACTGATAATTTTGACATATGGGAAAAGGCGATACGTAACGCTCTTGGTGGTCGTGGAAAATCTGTTTTTTTGTGATCCGTGGGGGTTCCCAAACCCACCGATGAACATGAGTTGTCTGCTTGGTATGCTAATAATCAGATAATCTGTAGTTGGATTTTCAACAGTGTTGATGAGTCTATCCAACCAAGTATTGTTTCTCATACTATTGCTTTTGAATTATGGGATGATTTACAAAAGAGGTATAGTTGTTACAATGGACCACGTATCTACCAGTTGAAGTCTGAATTGAGTTCCTTACGGCAAAAAGGACAAAGTGTGGTCTCCTACTTTAATCAGTTTCTTACTTTGTGGAATCAACTTCATGGTTCTCAGGATCCCACAAATGGGTGTAAATGTGCGGCTGCTGCTATTACTCGTGCGCAGGTGGAGCGAGATAAAACCATAGATTTTCTCCTCGACCTTGATGATGAGCAATTTGGTCATATTCGGTCGCAAATTATGGCTACCGAACCTGTGCCGGATATAGATCGCGCCTATTCTTTGATTTCACAAGAGGAACGTCACCGGTCTATCGTTCGTTCTCGTGACGATCACACCGACTTTGTGGCCTTTGCCACACGGTCCGATCGCCGCCCGCCTACTACTGGCAAGTTTCTGTGCTCACATTGTGGTCTGACTAGTCACACGGTCGAAACTTGTTATGAACTTATTGGTTTTCCCACTCAATATAACAAAGGTCCCAGTGGTCGTGGTTATTCGGGCAGCAACCGTGGAGGTCGTGGAGGCCATGGGGCAGGTCCAGCCGGTAGCCATGGTGGCCGCGGCTCTGGCAGTACTCCAGCCGTTGTTCCAGGCAGTAGCCAGCCGGCAGTGACCACCACCAGCAGTGGGTCCCCCGCGGCAGTGCACGCAGCGTCAGGTGACGCGCAATCTTCCCTCAGTGGTCAGATGAGTCGACTTATGTCTATGTTGGAAGCCTCCGCATCACATGCTTACTCTAGTATTTTCTCTTCTTATGATTGGATTATAGATAGCGGTGCTTCACATCACATGACGGGTACTTTGTCACACATGTTTAATATTGAGGATGTGTCTTCTCATCCTATTTGTCTCCCCGATGGCTCCCGGATTCAGGCGACTAAAAACGAGAGTGTGCGTGTGACATCTAGTCTGGTTCTTCATCATGTGTTTTATGTCCCTTCATTGCATTGTCATTTATTTTCTGTTGGGTGTTTGATTCGAGACACCACTTGTCATGTAACTTTTAATGATTTTAGTTGTGTAATCCAGGACCGTTCGTCGAAGATGGTGATTGGACAGGGTGAAAAGCGAAACGGAGTATACATCTTGGTTCCTTCCTCTGCGTCGGCTAATGTGGCTAACGTGGATCCTTTGCTTCTTCATCAGCGTTTGGGTCATCCTTCCTGAGATATTATTTCCTTGTTAAAGTTTAATAAGTCTGGTTCTGTTGTCAAGAAACTTCAAGCTTGTGAGATTTGTTTTTTGTCTAAACAAACTCGTTCTTCTTTTCCTGTTAGTCATAATAAAGCTGAAGCAATTTTTGATTTAATTCATTGTGACTTATGGGGTCCTTATTCCCCTTGTTTGTCCTCTAGTGCTCATTATTTTCTCACAATTGTTGATGATTTTTCTCGTGTTGTTTGGGTATATCTTATTCGTACTAAAAGTGAGGTAACAGCCTGTCTTAAACGGTTTTTTACCATGATTCACACCCAATTCTCTAAAATCATCAAAGTAGTTCGGTCTGATAATGGCACAGAGTTTCTCAATACCCCTTTGCGTCATTATTATGATTCTATGGGTGTCTGTATCCAAACATCGTGTGTTGGTACTCCTCAGCAAAATGGTCGGGTAGAACGTAAGCATCGTCACATTCTCAACGTTGCTCGTTCTCTCATGTTTCAGGCGTCTCTTCCAGTTGAATTTTGGGGGGAATGTGTCAAAACTGCTGTTTACTTAATCAATCGCACACCGACAAAACTCTTGGGTGGGAAATCTCCTCTTGAAGTCCTTTTGTCTAAACCCCAAGATTTAAGTCATCTACGGGTGTTTGGTTGTCTATGTTTTGTCCGTCAAACACCTAAACCTCTAAATAAATTTTCTCCCCGTAGCATGAAGTGCATGTTTCTTGGGTATCCCTATGGAAAAAAAGGGTGGCGTGTGTATAACTTGGATACTCATCAGTTTTTTCACGCTAGGGATGTTATGTTTGACGAATCGCAATTCCCCTTCTCTGTCCCAAACACCACCAGTTCAGTCCAACCAGTTCTAAATCCCGCCGACGTCGACTTCCCCGTCACCTCTCCGCCGGCTGCCTCCCTCGGCAATACCACCGAGCAACCCAGCTCGTCTGCCGTCCCTGTCTTGTCTCCCGTCACTGTCCCGTCTCCCACCCCTGTCCCGACGACCAAACAGCCCCTCATTCCCGTCACTGTCCAGTCGACGGGCGAGTCTCCCTCGTCCGTCCCGTCCCCTTCTCCATTACCTCCTCGCACACGTCGCCTCCCCACCCACCTCAATGACAATGTGCTTCATTCTGTATCTCCCGTCACTCCGTCTTCCTCTTCACCTAGCTCAGTCTCGTCTGGTACCCGGTTCCCGATTACTAACTATGTTCATTATGATAAGTTGCATAACAGGTACAAGGGCTTTGTTGGTGCTATAGATGCTTCTCTGGTTCCCACTTCATTTGGAGAAGCCGTCCGGTTTGCTTCTTGGAGGGAAGCTATGGCATAGGAATTCAATGCATTGGAGCGTAATCATACCTGGGAGATTACTGATTTACCTCCAAATCGGCGGGCCCTTGGCTATCAGTGGGTGTATCGCACTAAATATCGGTGTGACGGCACTAAGGAGCGGGATAAAGCACGTCTGGTTGTCTTGGGAAATCACCAGGAGGTGGGGGTCGACTTCACTGATACATTTGCCCCTGTAGCCAAGTTGGCTACAGTTCGGGTGTTGTTGTCTGTCGCAGTTGCACGCGGATGGCAGGTTGACCAGTTGGATGTCAACAATGCCTTTTTACACGGGGATCTTCAGGATGAGATTTATATGAAGCTCCCACATGGATACTCTCATTTGTTCCCTGGGAAAGTATGTCGCTTGCGAAAGTCTTTATACGGGCTCCGTCAGTCTCCCCGTAATTGGTTCGCCAAGCTTCGTGTGGCTTTGCGTCAGTATGGTTTTCGCCAGGCTCATGCAGATCATACTCTTTTTGTTCTCTGTCGCGGTCCTGATATACTTGTTATTCTTGTTTATGTGGATGACATTCTTGTTGCAGGCAATAATCCTTCTTTGTGCACTTCTTTTAAGAAGTACTTGGATGCTTGTTTTCAGCTCAAAGATCTTGGACCGGTCTCTTATTTTTCGGGTATAGAGTGTGCTCGATCTTCTACTGGTATGGTGCTTAATCAGCGTAAATACACCTTGGACATTCTTCAAGAACACAATCTCTCCGGATGTAAGCCTGCCGACACCCCACTGCCCAGCAACCATAATCTAGCCCGTTCTACTAGTACTGAGCTTCGGGATGCTGCTAAGTATCGTCGTCTTGTTGGCCGTTTGTTGTATTTGACTATCACTCGGCCGGATATCAGTTACCAATTTCTACAATAACTTTAATCTTTGTTTGAAATTCAGAAGAATCCATATACAAAGGATGTGAAGATGAACTAGATAGACTTAGCGAATCAAGTATAAAACACTTTCAGATTAAAGCTATTACGGAGTATAAAAAAATAATTCAATCAAATAAGACGTTAGTAATCTAGGACGAGTGTAGAAGTTCTGTGAAATCGAAACATACTCTAGGGCCATCTATTTATAGGAAAAAATCTAAATGGACATATTGGTATATAAAACAACACATTTTTTTGTGGAACATTCAAATGTTTGCACTCAAATATTTGAATGTGTAAATAGTGGTTAGTTAACACACCAACGATAATTTCTGTAGTTTTGTGCAAACTATTACATCATTATGCGATTCATTCGAATGTTGCGTGTCTTTTGGTAAAGGATGCTAGAGTTAAACATTACCTTCGAATGCATTATTTACTACATTACTTTGAAATTTGTTTATTTGGATTCTCGTAAAGCAACAATGTCCAAAACAAAATCTCAATCATAGCCAGGGGCTCTGGCGCTTGGACCCTCTACCGGGAGTTGTCGTCCCAAAAATCCCGCTATGAAATTTGTAAAATCATTGAATGAGCATGAGCTCGGCACCTCCGAAGTTGTTAAAAATATCTATTAAAATTCTCGTATATTCAGTAAATCTAATTGCATAAAATGTATAGCTGGTAACACTAAAACCACAACAATTAAAATTTTAGAATAGTTACTATTACAATTCTTCTAGGACGGAGGGAATAGTTGAAATATAATGCTTATGCAGATATATTGTTTAAATACGTTTATTAATTTTATGAATTTACAAATAAGTGATAACTACATAAAAAGTTGCAAATTTGCAAAAGATAAGTTAATTTGTTTTGTTGATTCGATTCAATTTTTACTTTAAATTAAAATATTAATGTTGCATAAATAGTTATTATAAATTAACAATGTACAAAAATTAGAGAAGAGGTAATATTACACCATTATTTTGGGGTAAGATTGTAACACCAACACAATTGGGCGCCTACGATACTCCAATCTTAAAATTGATGGTTGCTACCCCCTAACTTCCGTAAACTCTCACTCCGGCTCAGTCTTAATGCACCCCTCCAATTGCACTATCCAAATTTTGCTGACTTTTGGGATAAAATTTTGTTACCAAAATTAGGAAGATGTAATTAGAGAGGGTGCGAAGGTACGTCTAGGTTAGACTAGGGTGAAAAGTTTATATAGGAGGTTAGGAGGTAGAAATAGCCAATTTTGAAAACGCAGCACCATACACGCCATTTGAGTTGGTTTCATAATCTTATACGGAGTATCAAAATAATGGTGTAAGATTCTTTCTCAAAATTTAAAAAGTTAAATATTCAAACGCAAGAATTTGTGGTTTTATTATTTAAAAAAGAAAAAATTAAATATATTACACACTAAAAACAATGACTATCCGGTCTAAAAAGGTCCATATGTTTTGAAAGGATCCGTGTCCAACCGGTTCATATGTAAAATTGGGAGAGCGGGTAGCGAGCAGCCCAGCACATGTCCGTCCATCCGGTAAGCAATCCATTCGTCTCCCTTTTCTCATCCTATCTTCTGCTCTGCAATGGCGCTAGCACTAGCAACGCCAGTACTCCCATCATTCTCCATCATCAGCAACAATAATCTCTTCTGTTCAAGCATCAAAAGTTCTCTTTCTTTCCCCAATCCTCTTTCTCATCCAAAGGTCTGTCAAATCTCTCTCCATTTTATTCGATAAACAGAACCACAGAATTTCGCTTTATTGATAATTCTAGAGCTCAATTTTACTGTAATTGTTTCTTTTGTTTGGCAGATTGGGGGTTTGAGCATCAAGTGCGTGCGTGTGGGAGGAGTGGAGATTCCCAACAACAAGAGAGTGGAGTTCTCGCTGCAGTACATCCACGGCATTGGGCGCAGCATATCGAAGCAGATTCTCTATGATATTGGCATGGAGAACAAGGTCACCAAGGAATTGTCCGAGGAGGAGCTCACCTCTCTCCGTGACCAAGTCTCCAAGTACATGATTGAAGGGGATCTCGTAAGTTCCTAAACTCTTCTTATTTCAGTTTTTTGTGGTTATTTTGATTTCTAATTTAATAGCTCGTTCTGCATTTGTGTTTGGTGGTCTTGTGGAAAAAGACTAGTAGTTTTGGCTGAATGCATATGTGGTTTATTTCTAATCGTCTTGAACGATTATGGTCTACAGATTAACTTAGCAAACAGAAATAGGATATGCTAGTAAGAAATGTCTCACTAGTAATCAGTAAACCCGTAAAAGAACTTTTTTTACAGATTGATAAAGATATGCACTGGAAGTGTTGCGAGTATGTTTCTCTTCTTATTCTTGAATTTGACATTATGTTTGAGAAGATATCATTTCTTGCCAATGAAACTATAAGAGGCATTCTTGACTGTTATATTTTTGGGTAAATAATTATTTAAATCAATATGAAACATTAAGCTTCCTTTTTTATTTTCAATGAAGTTTTTGGTAGTACACGCAATAATGCATCAAGGGTCCAACCGAAGTCACTCATGTAAGAATGTACACATCTGGATTCCAGACCCTAACACAGTTAGGATTATAGTGGGATTGTTGTTTGTGTTGGAGATGTCATTTGATTAGCAGTGACCATCAGATCGTCAGACATGTAGGGTCTATAGCCGCAACACAAGTTGAATTTTGTAGAAATTGCTTTAGATGAACTTGAATTGGTGTGTCGATTCGCCTTCTACCTTCTACCTTTGTGTTGGTCCACCAAGTAGAGGATTACAAATAACATTTTAGTTGGAGGAATATTAGGATTGGCTAGTTTCCATGTTTTTAATCTTTCCTAAATCTATGATTCACGACCATAAGAAGTTTTGCATATAACTGCCAAATTCATCAGAAAATTGGAAATGTATTTAGCTTGGGAGTTGGTCTTCATTGTTTTTTTGTATTATCTCACATTCTCACACCATCTTCCTTCTCCAATTTGGTTGCAACCCCTACATTCTTCATCAGAAACACTACAACGTTTATCATTTGACAAAGTTCATGTCTTTTCTCATATGACAAAGTTCATGGCCCTTACATAAAATATGACCGTGGATAAGAGTGTATGGAGAGCAAGGACTAGGGTAGTTGCGTATGCTTTTGGGCTTGGTGATTGTTTTTGCAGTTGTTGCTTTCCTTATTGGGTGCTTTCTGTTTTTTGCTTGCTGACACTAGTTTGATCTTTGCTACTTTTTTTGTTTTTTGTGCTTTATGTGCTTTCAATGCCCAATATGTTGCCTGTATTACTTGAGCCGACTGCTGAGGGTCTCGTGGAAACAATCTCTCTACTTTCAAGCAGGGGTAAGGTCTTCGTATACACACCCTTCCCAGACCTTACTCCACTGGGATACAACTAGGCTGTTATTGTTGTTCTAGCTCACGATCATCCACTTCAAGTGACAGAGATGAGAATGTTGAGGTTGATGTGTGACCATATGAGGACGGATAAGATCTCGATCGAAGTTATTCGAGGAAGAGTGGGAGTGGTACTTGTGGAGGATAAGCTGCGAGGAACTAGGCTCATGTAGTTTGGACACGTAAGCGGGAGATACAAAAGGCTTGCAGTAGTGGCATGAGAAGGGGTAGAGGTAGACCGAGGAAGAGTTCAAATTAGGTTATTACACTGGACTTAAAACTTCGGTATCTCGCCAGGAATATGACCTTATATAGAAATCTTGGAGATCTAGGATTTGAGTAATTGGGTAGACCTTTTGGCCTTTATGTGTAGTTATGCCGATGTGATTTTTGCCTTAGTCTCTTGCTTGTGCAAGTGTGCTTTGGACCTACTTGCTAGTATCAGAATGTTTGCTTCTTGTTCTACGAAAGAATGAATGAGAAAAGTAAAATATTACATTGATTTTGTTTCAATTTACCTTTCCCAGTAACTATCCATTGGTCAAACCACCTCCCTCATCCTCCTTTTCTTATTTCCTCGACAGTTTTTATTTTAATTCTATCATTTGAATTTGTGCGATTAATAATACTTTTTACTCCGTCCATTTTTAATGTTCAGGGTTTGACCGGGCACGGAGATTAAGAAATGTTAAATTTTACATTGACTTTCCAATTATGCCCTCCCCACTGTCACCCACTACCCACTCCCTCAATGTCCGATCGGACATCTTCAACCGCCGGCAATGCCCCGCCGCATAGCCTTATCATTCCAAAATCAAAGAGCAAGAATAGTACCACGGATCTTCCCAAGAGAATTTTCCCTTGATTTTGTGGTCCATTTTTGTACTAAGAACCAAGGAACCTAAGCGTATAGGTACATCTTCTGATTAAAGTCGAGTTAGAGCTTCTAAACACCTCCTTAAGTTGAGTTAACTTCCAGTTGGGATCGCGTCTGTGACAAGTGTCGCCGTGAACGTCCCGACTTAAGGAAGCCAAACGTCGACAAAACTTGAGGTAAAAAACTCCATAACACTCGCTGAACCAGTGCCTAATCACATTCTTAAGTTTGTGGAGCAATTCCAACAAGAATTTGTGATTTTTGGCTCAAATTGGAATTTCGGGTACTGTATCCATCACATAGATCTGAATTATATTTTTAAGATCTGGACCAAATCCGAATAGTCTGAAGAAGAAAACGAAGAAGAAGAAGAAAGAAGAAGAAGAAGAAGAAGAAGAAGAAGAAGAAGAAGAAGGAGGAGGAGGAGGAGGAGGAGGTGGTGGTGGTGGTGGTGGTGGAAAGAAGAGAGGAGAAACAAAGGGGAGAAGAAGAAGATGGACGGCTGGGAATGGAGAAGGAAAGAACAAAAAAGAGGGAAAGAAGAAAAGAGAGAAGAAAAAAGAAAAAAAAAGATGGAAAAAGGTTGGGTGGGGAGGCGGTGAAGAGTGGAGGAAAAGAGAGAAGGAAACACGAACTTTATTTGTGGACGGACTAAAAAGGAAAGTACGAACATTAGAAATGGACGGAGGGAGTATTTAATTTATTAATGCATATAGTTTAGATACATTAATATTAAGTACAACATTATAAAAATTTAAATTGTAAATATGTTCATCCTTGACATTCAAAATGAGGGATAATTAAGCAGTTTTGTTTATGGCCAAAAGATAATATGTGGAATCAAATATTTTCTTTGGCAGTAAAAGGGTTTTGATGAAAGCTTTAACAAGTGATTTCATTGCTGTGGATTCTAAAAGGTTTCCTGATCGTGGGAACCCTTTGAAAAATGTGACATTGTGAAGAGTTCTATTGTGGTTTGCCATATTCAGCCCCTCAACCTCAAATTGGACGTGTTGAGCATACCAGAGGCTAACCTAAGTCCTAAACTTGCATTAATCTGAGCTCTTCTTTTTTATATATATGCTAACTTTCTGTCTGCACAATACATTGCGAGCCAATGAAGCAAAAAAAACATTTTGACAATGTTTTAACTTCAAGTAAATACTAGACCAAATTAAATGGGCACATAAGACATCCCTTGCTTCTTATTTCTCTATGAAGTGTGGGCTGTGAATTTAAGCTATCCAGCTATGTGTCTAGGGTCTAATGGATGAGCCTTGTAGTTGTAACAGTGCCCCTCCTCCCTCAGTTTGATACTATGTTTTCCCCCTACCCCCTCACTCGTTCACATTGACATGAGCTCACAAACGCACTCACGTTGTTGTTGTATGCAATCCATGCTAGAAAACAATTTCAATAGCGTGTGTTCTTTTGTCATCAGAAACATAGTAATCCTCATAATTAGATTTTAATTGCGTTTTGATAAAGATTTGGGTTTATGATGTGAAATGTATATATTCAAATGGCTCGCTATGTCTTGAAGAAAATTTTGATTAAGATACATGAAAAGGGGCTCAATGAGGCTTAAGCTAGTGTTCGGTTTGCTCAGTAGGCCCAATCAGAAGGTGAGGCATTCAATTGGTCAAACTGGTCAAGTTCCAGTGCTTAAATATGTCTACTAGATCCCCAGTAAACTATGTAGCATGGACACTGGCATGAATACAACAACAATTTAATGTGAATGTTATCCTAAGCAGTTTATGAGAAATAGCATTGGAAAACAGTGATTAATACACACTTAAAATTGTTTTGATATCATTTTCAGCAACATGTCTGCATTGCCAATGGAACTGAAAGAGTCATTTTTTTCACACTCTTTGTTTTTTACTTTCTATGATGTTTAGGGCAGTAACTAAAATGTGCAATGATTTTGCTTTGATTGATGAGATAATGATTGATAATTGTTGGTTGCTTTTTTTGGGATGCAAATTTTTGCAGAGGAGATTCAACGCAGTTGCGATTAGAAGGTTGAAGGAGATTCAGTGCTACAGAGGCATAAGACATATCAAAGGGTTGCCATGTAGGGGACAACGGACTAAGAACAATTGCCGCACTCTCAAGGGAAAGAGGGTGGCCATAGCAAAGAAGAAGAAGGCATCTCGTTAGTTGGAATTCAGTCTTCTAATTTGTTATTTATGGCCAAGTTGCCCAATTTGAAGAAGCTTTTCTTTCTATGTTAGGTTCTAGATTCCCTCCCCATAATAACATAATTCCTCCCTCAAATTAATCTTCTCAGTTACTATTACAGTCTCTCAATAAACTATACTCCCTCTTTCCCACACAAACTTTCTTCTTTCTTTTTTATGTGTCTCAAAAAACTTTTTACATTTCTATTAAAAAGTCACTTATACCCCTACTAATTTTTAACTTACCTATTACATCACGCTTTTTCACTATTAATCTATCTATCACATCCAAGGTCATTTTTAAAAAGTCAACACTAAAATACAATCCTTAAATCTTTTAAAAATCAAAATCAGAAAAGTTTTCTATGACGGAGGGAGTGTTTGTTTGCATGTTAAGAAAAGGACCAAACTAAGAGTAAAACGTATGGTATTTCCTCAAAATAGAAGTTCAAACTTAAATTCCTCTAAATAAAAGTAATTTACATATCAATCTATTATCACATTGTATGCACTAGAATCAAAATGTTCGGAAATATTAACAAAAATCTCTAGAAAAATTAAAAGCCCATATTTGGTAAGAATATTTAGCCGATATGGTTGAATTTATATGATCGACTACTAAGTTTTTTAAAATGAAAGTACTCTGTATTTTTGTTAAATCGATTTTAGCTAAAATTTAAGTCAAAATCTGATCATTATGCTTATCAATTCAGGCTACAAAAAGTGATGTAAATCTTAGAAATAAATGATCCATTTGTCGCATGATCAAACTACATGGGGGGAGTTCAAAGTACTATAACTTCATGTAACTCCAGTCACAAATCTACACTACATACAATAATCGATGAATGCCATTACAAGACGTCCATAAAGTCCGTCAATTTCTTCAATCAATAGCATTTTGACACATTCTTTTCAATTTACGAACCTTGAAGACGAGAGGTGAAAATCTCAGAGGCCTGCGAGTACCGAGCAAAATCAGCAATCCCCGGGCGATTTCGATATTGAAGCTTCATTGACTTCTCTGATCCGCTTAAAGTCGAGAACTGAGACAAGTTTCAAGCAAAATTTCAGCTAAAAGTTGGGAATTCCATTAGGCCACATGAATTTGGGTAGGTAGAAGCGGAGATAGTACCTGAGAGTGATGAAAAAGAGATGAACGACCATAAACAGCGCCCCTGAGCATGAAAAAGAGATGAACGACCATCACTTGTCAAAAAATTTAATAAATATGTGAAAGTTGAATCTATACTCACCATCGTTATTGTCATTATTGCTATATTAAAATGACCTTATAGCGTCTGTAAAGGTCACACGTAATCATGTAATGGCAATCATGTCAATGTATAAGGTCACGCACGCGATATATTAAACAAAGAATTAATGACAAACATAACAACAAATAATGCCAGTCTTAGCAATGTATAATGACAAATGTGGCAGTGTGTAATACCATGTATCACACATCTCAATTCATAATGTAAAAAAAAGAAAAATATAAATAAACTCTACAACTTACTAACACCATAATCATTCAATTCTAATACCAATTTTATAAAATAGTTCCACAGATGTCCATATATAATGTCATAGATGCGAACGTATAGTGTCACGCAAAGGGATAATGTTAAAAAACCGACTCAATGCCTTGCACATTTACCGGCGACCATCACGCATTTCACAACTCTTATGACGGATGGAGCACAAAAACAGCTTAAAACAATCGGAAGAGCACATATAGAAGAAGCAAGTTCAAATCAATTTTACAAAATCATTTCCTAAGTAAAAAAATTGAATATAAACAACCAATTAAGAAGCAAATTCAAATATCAATTCAATTGTTTTGATTCCTTCAAGGGGTGTGCAATGGCGACGAGAGTCATGGATCTTCAATAGGGCATGATTCAATCTAAACACAAGCATAGAAGAATTTGCTGAATAAACCAAAAGAGATATGAAAATGGTAAAGGCAGCGCGGTAAGAGGGGAGGGCATATGGAGAAGAAAGGGTGGCGGTGACAACGTCTAAGGGTCAACGAAGATAGCGGAAGAGGAAGAGGGCCGATGGAGATGAGGTGCGAAGGAGGAGACAAAGAAAGGGAAAACAACTACTACATGTGTTTATTGGGTGATCGATGATTTTTTTAGTATCTTTTTTTTAAATTTAACTTCTATTTTGAGTATATAAGTTTGGAATCCCTACTTTGAGAATATAACATATGTTTTACTTCTATTTGGGAGTTTTTTGCATGTTTTTATTGATAATTTTATTAATTTGATAGAATAAAATATTCTTGTCGTCTATTATATATTGCAAGGTTTTACTAAAGTTATTTTCGATTCAAATTATTTGAAAATTGGTATGTAACCAAAAAAAGAGGTAACAAGATCTATCAAAAGTACGTTCCCGAAACAAGATGTGACAACTGACAAGTCTATATTTTTTTCCCAAATTGGGAGGGAAAATGGATAAAGAATGTGATTAAGGTTTGACATGAGAATAGTAAATAATCAACTTGAATTGAGACAAAGGGAGTAAAACTTTTAATATAGTTTTAAAATATATAATTTGTACCTATTATTCTTACACCAAATCACAAGTAATTTTTAAAAAGATAGAACTTTGCAGCGTGCCTATACCAACATCAGTTATGCAGTTCTTTTCCTCGTCGCTTTTATTGAACTGTCAAGAATCTTAGGAGCTAATTGATGTTGGTCCTATTCCTGACGTTGTTCCCGTGCTAGTTGCCGAGGTTGTTCTTCCAAACGATGTTGATGCGGACAACTCTCATCGCGACCAATATCTTCAGGTGCATGTTTTCAGAGATGATGTACTTTTTTATGCATGCACCAAAAAAATTGAGATGTCAAGTACTGAAGTTCTTCTGCAAGCAACAAGTCTCGTGAATGGCTCTATCTCATATTTCTCCCATCACATTCTACGAGGCATGTCGGTTGATAATTGGCCGAGAAGTGGATATCGTTTTTGGTTTAGCACCTTCTCTCCGGTCCAAAAGCACGAGTGGGAGCCTCCACCTTGAGGACAAGGTGATTTTCTAAGGGGGTGAGAGTGTTATGGATAGTAGAGTATGATATTTAGTATAATTATTATTATTTGTTAGACAATAATAATAGTATTACTTGTGGTAGTATTGGTTGTGGTAGTCTTTCATTATTAGTCAACTTCCTAATCCTATTTGTGCTAGATGTTGTATTCTAGTTAGTCTCCATTCTTTATTCCTAGTTGTGTTAGGAGTCTCTTCTATATATACTCTATCATGTACTTCATAATTCAAGGAACAATATTATTATTCTAATATTTCAACATGGTATCGGAGTCTCGTTGACTAAGAGGTCACGAGTTCGAAACTCAGCACCACCCAGTTTTAAAAAATTAAGGTTTCACGTGCAATGCTCGAAAAAGACTATGTTTGCATGTGAGGGGGCATGTTAGAATATAAATAACTGATCCTGTGCCACAACCACAAGCTTGAGCTTTTGGTTGAGTTGGTTCCTTGACATGGTATCGGAGACACCGCTCTTGGTGACTTAAAAGAGTTCTTTGCTTCCACCGCCACCGCCGGTAATATCGGAGACGACGGAACCACTTCATTCACCTCTATTTTCTTTTTCCTTCTTTAATCCTCAAATTAACTTCTCCATTCAAAAAAAAGGAAAAAAATTTCCGTGTTGAAATCACAAAACAATCGTCAAAGTAGGAGCTTCCCTCTTGTCGTCTCCATGGTTCTTCCAAAAAAACCGCCGAAGGGAAACATGTCCTCAAAATCCACAACCGCTCTACCATCACCTAAGACTGAATCTCATTTACCCTCGAGCTAATGTCTTCCTTTAAATTTTCGGATCGTCGGCTCCTAAAAAAAACCTCTCTCAACTAATCATCCTATCTTCTCAAAAAAAAGAAAAAAATGGTAGTTGTTTCTCTCCAATTTACCATATCAAAATCTCAGACCCAAATCTTTTTTTCATCACCAATTCTTAACCTACTTTTTTCTCTCTCAAATCACTCATTCTAATCATGAACCTCCCTTCTCTTTCTCTTTTGTTGAACCAAAAAAATCCAAAGTAAATCAGCACAAAAGCAAAGCCAAGAGGGGAAGTAGTGAAAGAGGAAAGAATCCCTCTACAACTCACCCCTTCAAGTAGGAATATATGGCATTGCCCGGATCTAAGAAAAAGACAAAGAATGTCAAGGATCTTCAATCAAACAGACACCTCCAATAGCCTTCTCTGTTCTACTTCAACGTCACCAGCTAGAAGCGCACGTCAACCCTTTCTCTCTTCTTTAAAAACTCCAGCAACTACCATCGCATGTCAGACTTCTCTCTTCTCCAACGACGTTAGCAACTACCAGTGCACGTCAAACTTCTCTCTTATCCAACGACGTCAGCAGCCACCGGCGCACGTCAGACTTCTCTCGTCTCAAAGTTTCCAGTTTCTAGCTAGTCTCCAAACTTCCTCTTGCTTCAGCTAGAGTTCAGCTTGAGGGGGGATGTTAGACAATAATAATATTATTACTTATGGTAGTACTGGTTGTGGTAGTGTTTCATTATTAGTCAGCTTTCTAATCCTATTTGTGCTAGATGTTGTATTCTAGTTAGTCTCCATTCTCTATTCCTAGTTGTATTAGGAGTCTCTTCTATATAAACCCTATCATGTACTTCATAATACAAGGAGCAATATTATTATTCTAATATTTCAACATTATTATTATTATTATTATTGTTGTTGTTGTTGTTGTTGTTGTTGTAATTTAGGTTTTATTAGGTGAACGGAATTATAAGCTCCTTCGAGGTTTTATTCGCTTTTATTGAACTGTCATGTTAGGTTTATGGTTAGCTAGGGTTTCTTTGTCTCCTATAAATAGAGATGTAACCTCATTTAGAATAATCAATCAATAAACAAATCAAAACCCTAATCCCTTCTCCTCTTTCGGTTCGCCGATTCTCTTCGTCTCAATTCTTCTTCTTCTTCCTCGTCCCATACTCTCAAGAGCTTGAAGATGCTCTAAGTCTTCCCTATCCGATACGAGTTTGTATCTGCCCCATTGAAATAGAGGTGAGAAACACATGATTTTGTGATTGGTGGGATGCAAAGAAAAAATAATTCACACCAAAATAATGATGCGGTAAGAGGAAAAGCGTAGAGAGAGCTTAGTAAAGATTTTTTTGTGAGAAAAACTAAAATAGAAATAAGACATAACTAGAATATGACTTTCATTATATATTATCTCCAAAATAAGACATATAATGTTAATAATATAAACATATAATACAAAAAATGCTCTGAGATCTTGATATACAAGGCTGCATATTACAATACAATAGTCTTATTTTTGGGATAGTAACATATCACTTTTATTTTGAAGGTAAGACTATGTTTTTTTCATCATGGACGATCTCATCCCAGGATAAAACCGCTAACGTGCAAGGTCTAGAACGGTAGAACCGTGCACCGATGAACAAGAACGAAAGGAGAGTTACTCGCCAGAAAGGTGACCGGAAAATGAATGAGAGTTTGGAAAAGGAGAGAAGTGTTTTTCTTCGTATGGGCTGCCAGACAACACAAGGAGTCTCTGGAGTGTTTTCACACTGCGTGGATGCTTCGTTATCAACGACGTATCCTCTCATGTTTAATTCGGTCTCGTAAAAAGATTAGAGTTGGACCACGCCATGTCACGATGTGTCTCACACACGCACGCGTGCGTGTAGTGTCGTGCCGAGTCAGACGGATGGTGGCGGCGGTGCGCGAGGAGTCCTTTCCTTCATCCTTCTCAAATTGATTTTAACATACAATTCAAAGCTAGCATGTATATATAGTGGAAGATGAAATGTCCCAAAATTGATGTGGGATACGTGGGTTTCCTCCTTCCAAGTGTCCGACTTTGTGAATTAATTTCTCATTCAACCGAGCACCATTTTTGGCGCACAATATGTCGAAACACTTGTCTCACTTAGGAGATTAGTTTTCCATTATAATTTTTGGAGAAAACAATTGTGGCATTATTAGTATTGAACATTGGCATCATTCCTACCTCCAATGCCGCCCATGAGCTAATTGAATTTTTGATCACTCATTGCGTTACCTATGAACTGCTCAGGGATTGTATGAAAGGACGAGACAGAGTGTTTCCCTTGAGAAACATGTGAGCTTGAACCTTCAGACGTGGCATGGGCTTTGCCTCTGCCTCTGTTAGAACCTTTGTTAATTTATTTGGGTTGGCCCAAACATATTAATAATATTTGACACCCAACCCAGCAGCCCATTTACTCAAGCCCAATCTATACTCCTTAACCTAATTAAGCTTGCCTTAATTACCACCCTAATCTCCACTATAAATTGAGGCTTCCACCTTGAGTTATTTCATTGTGCAAAACTCCTTTCTCTCTTTGTGAGACTTCCGTGTGGGTTTCTTTCTTCCTTTGTGAGTTGATCTCAGTTCTTCTCCGTTTCTTTGTGAGTGGAGTGTGGCGAGGTTGGGTTGGGGTGTTGCTCCTTTTGGTACCCTTGTAGTGCACAACTACGGACCGATTTTTACGGGTGACCTGAGCCTAATCGGAATAAATAAATACACACAACAGTGGTATCGGAGCCTGGTTTGTGCTCAGTATTTATTT